CCTATAACATTTTCACCGGAATCGCAGAAGATTACTTTGTATGCAGTGTCAACTAGAATTCTCTATTTAAGTTAAATGGAGGCTTACCATGAGGAATATGCCATTATCTGCTAGTGGGTTTTACTTTTACTTAAAATATAGCTGGGATTGACAAAAAAGTATCAGTAAGACAACCTAAGTTTAGCTATATTGGCTTGGCTTGGCTTGACTACGCACTACGATAATCGGCATGCCAAAGGAATTTATTATGATGGACGGGCTAGCTAAACATCTTATTTCTTCGTTGTGAAGGTTGCAAGCAGGATGATGTATTACTTGGCTTTAAAGTTCTTTTGTATCTTGATCTCATTGATGAAAGCGAGTTTGTAGGCAGATTTACTGCACATTAATCTGGCCTCTATCAACCCGCTAGAATAATTTTTGAATTGAACTGTTTTAAATTAACCGAACCTCGCAAATTTGCCGCAAAAAATGAGTTTTGAAAGATACAATCACTGTTTGGATCCTCAATTTTTTATTTTGTCCAAATGAATGCATTTTTCAACATTTATTTTAGAGAGAATTTGATTAAAATACCACAAACTGTAGGAAATTACTCAAACTATGAGCATAGCATTTTTAAACGCCTCTGTATTTGATAGTTAAATCAACTCTCTTTATCCAGGATTGTATAGATTGTATATAGAGGTTTAATTAGACTTTAGGGATGAACAGTCGCTTCACTTGAGCTTTCAAAACTAAGGTCCAGATGTCTTCGTTGATATAACCAATTGATACACCCTTTGGTCAAGTGTAGATCTGTGATGAATGCATATGGTGTTCCTTCATTGATTTGAACACCGTATGGCGCCTACAGAATCTTGAAGAAAGTCGTCCTTTAATTTATTTTACTATTCTGTTTTAATAATGGTGTAAATAAATTTACCTTTGGTAATTTCGGCCATGGAAACTTAATTTTAAGTACCTCTTTTTATCTCGAAAATAAAACTACAAACGGAGAATCTCTTGAACCTAATGACAACGGTTGATAAGAATCCACTTCAAACATATGAATTGTTAATCATTCATTGGTTTTCCCGAACATTAAGATCTTGGATTATTGCTTCTTTATTTCAATCTTGGGGCCTCATGAGAAGTAACTGAATAAAACACAATCGATTACTTTACTAGTCGCACGCACGAAACAGAAATTAGTGAATAAATCATTGACTATAAATAGTTCAATTTTGGCGACTTAGTATACAAGAGATCACAATTAACTTAAGACGCCCAACTATTAGTTTAGAAGTCATAATGATACTGTTGCCAATCAAGTAACTTGTATTATAGAATACCTCATCCATCACAAGGAGCTTTGTCATGATGCTTGGGTATCGGAAAGCTAATTGTCACTTATTAATTAGGGTAAGGGTAAACAGAATCTTTAAGCTAAATCGCGAAGATGTGGCATAAGTATTTTATGGAACATTGAGTTTTATTGGTATCGGAGAATGTAGCTAGTTTCTTAGTTCAGAATGATACTTGCTTTGTTTTATCCGTTGGTTTATATTGGCCCAGGTCGAAGTGGTGAGATTTCATCAGCAATCACTGTCTTCCCATTCCCTGCAGCATTGAAACAGTAGAGAGTTTGATGGAATAACATATGCTGAACTAGCTTGGCCATGTGAGTATGACTCGATCTTGATCATACTCGGTAAAGTGGTGGAGGTTAGGCGGCCAAGGTAAGCATTTGCTTTAAAGATAGTGTCATTTGCGATCTAATAAAGATGGTTATGTCGCATAACTGATGGGGAGATATTGGTCGGTCTTGCGCTGAATTGAATATTGAGGCTTACTCTCATTACTCCATTAAGATGGGGCATAGCTTACGAAAAATTAAAGGTCATGTAATAGTTTTTCTGCTGAAATCATCCCATTTTAAAAAGATCATTCCCTTATGTTCTTTATCATGATAAAATATTCAAAGGGAAAATTTCGCTTTTAAGTATGCTATTGGGCTAGCTTAGGATTTATCCTTATAGTACCAGATTGTCGAGTCGACATTAAATGTTCTGATTTCGAATGGCCTATTCCAGCAAATTTAAACGCTACCAGCTGAAGTGAAGGAGTCAAAAGCCGAGCCAGACATGCTTATAAGACAAAGGTGTCAACTATTAAGTAAAATAAAAAAGGTCGAGATTATGAAGGATATAATTATATGGCTTCGTATTTGACTTTTAATTAATTCATTAGTCAATATTTAGAATTCTACACAGTTTGCCTGAATGTATCATCAAAATAATTATATTTTGCCAGTAAAACTTTTTCGAGTCATCACTACTACCATCACGTAATCCTAAGCTGGGTGTGTCGATCCGTCTTTCTTGTTCCTTATTTTTCAAAATTTCTTATTTCTTTTTCTCATTAGATTTTTCATATCTACTATCACTTCTCATTTATATCCACTTTCTCTTTCAATCTCCCCTACTTGACATTTTTTCTCACTTTCTTACTTTCTTCCTATACCTCTTCTTCTTCGATTTTCTTTCGAATTATACTCAATTTACGTACTTTTACCTTTGCTTCTAATGTTCTCTCACAGCATTCACCATGCGACTCATGATTTTCCGCCACTCGCGGCTCATCACATTTATCATCATTTCCTTGATGGGCGGCTTCTTCCTCTTAATTTACTATGAGAAGAATCTCTCTGCTACCGATCAAGAACCAAAACTCGTCGCTGGCAAACCAAATCCTGCTATCTTCATGCCCTATGCCCCATTATTATTCAAGCCACCCTTGAAAATTCCACATGATCCGAAGGATGTAGGACAAAAAAGTGTAAATTTGCGAGTTCAGGACGTCCAATCGAATCAAATGAAAATACCTGTTGGACAGGAGCTAGAACACACTGCTCATGTATCTAAAAGTCCTGATATGAAGCATAAAGATCCCGAGTCGAAGTTGTCTATGAAAATCCTCAACGCCAATCTGTCGGCATCAATCGTCCAACCGAATCTTGGTGATAACAAAGGGAATCGCGGCGTTCTTGACACGCCTCAACAGGTCGAGGCTGATTCCGAGTTCGACTATCTCCGTCCACTAGAGCCGCCAGAGATGAGCAACGCCGATAGCCGAGGACCTGGTAAGCACAAAGACGACGTAATGTTACTGCCGTTATCGAAGCCCAATCCATTAGCAACCAGTCCCTATACTTTTATACGCATTATTGTGACCTATCAAAAGCCTTTTTACAAGTTCAGCATACATTGAGTCCCTGTGTAAAGGTCAGATTCCAATTATTCTCATAGGTCGGGTGAAAATACAAGTTCCAGTTTCGGAATAGCTTCATAGTTTGCTGCTAGTAAACGAGATAAATCATTGACATTTTTAGACTCACAAAATAAGCTCAATCCAAAAGAAAGTCTAGATTAAATTACATGACCTGATTTGAACCAAGACTAGGACTAGACAAACCCATTTTATCGAAGGTATGAAGACCAAAAGGGTCTGGCATTTGGTATGGTCGCAGTTTCCTTTCGGTGTATAGAAGTTATTTGACCTTATTTTCGCAATTTGGTCATATTGGCAGGAAGACCTAGAGGAACTCATCTAGTCCGGATTCCATAGTATGGATGAGAATTTTCAAAGTCTGACCGTGGACGTGGTACATTCCCAGACGTTTCGCCGGCACCGTAGTCGGCATCGTCAGTGAGCTCTGTCATTCTTAGCACTCATCAAAGAGATAAGTAAAGCTATCCTTTGAACAATTGTCTGCTTAAAAATTGTGGTATCTCTACTTCTGCCCTTGGCTATTCACCAATCCTATATCCTTGTATCACTCCTTCACTGGCACAATTTCCTATTTAAATATGGCATGGTGTGCCCTTTTTTAACGGATTTTATGAGAACTTTCCAAATCACATGCTGGATTTCTCACCACCTCAGCCCGCAATCCTCTTCCCATAGGTATTTTCAGCGTCTCTCTTGCCCCGTAGGATCCTCTAACATCCTTCCTAGTTCATGTATTTCACTCGACCCCTGCCACCCTATCTGTACTATTCGAAGCGCTATTTCCCACACTGCCTCAGGTCTTTGATGGCACGCATACTTCCGCCTCGCTGAGAAGGCCTTTAATAATCAGAATTCTCAGGCTGGATGGGAGACTATATTGAGGCTAAAGATCTTGATTAATTGTTATGGCCAAGACTTTGCTTCATGGATCACGGCTATGATCAAACACGTCTAGGGTTAGCCAACTAGCTCTAGTCACCGCAGCATCTATTATGCTCCTAGCCATAGTGCCAAGTCTATGACTTCCTATGCCGTAGTCTCTTGTGTGTCAACCCAAAAATGTTGTCGTTCTACATGTTTTGATTAGGTTCAAGAGACTAGGGCATAGTAAGTCATATATTTTGCACTATGGATAGAAGCAAAATTGATTTGGCTGAGACAAGAGCTAGTTGGTTAACAGTAGACGTAATTTCCGTATATATGTAAAGTTTCAAGACTACCAGTAAATCAGTTATATGAGATGTATTCACCCTATTTCGTTGAAGGTGATGAAGGACTGGTAGTAGAATTTTCCCACAATGATATGAGTAGAGCTGACGTTTTCATTAAATTTAACATAGCCTTGCTTTCCCAAAAGTTGTTTTCATCCAGTCTGAAATGGAATGCAGTTTTGACCTCGCCTTGTTTGGGTCTTATCAACACCCCCAGCCGAAGTCGAACCGTGACAGTTCAGCATGTGAGCTTGACACGTTAACCACTCGGTCGCATTGTCACTAGTGCTCTTGGGACACAGGGCAGATCTGAATTTCAAGGAAGGCCCAACCTTTCCCCATATCACATTCTTTGATGAGATTGTCGATGAAGTAAACGTGGTTTTGCTATAACGATCGACTAAATTACTTAAGTTTTGTATATAAGTAGAATTTCGAGACTACTGATAAATCATTTATTTGAGATGTATTCACTCTATTTCGTTTAAGGTTATTAAGTACTGGTAGTAGAATTTTACCACAATGATATTAATAGAGCTAACGTTTTCATTTAATTTCACAGAACTTTACTCTGTCAGCTCTACTCATTTTGGGAAAATTCTACTACCAGTACTTCATCACCTCCAGTTCTGTGACCTTAAGAGGCCCTACCACTCAGATAAGGTTAATGAGCATCTCCACCAGGCGTCTA